AAATTGGTTTAACAAGGTGTATTATCTTAAAAATCTAACTAATACATTGTTCGCTTTAATTGTTGGCTTCATTTAATACTATTTAATCGGCTTCGGTTTCATAAATTAAAAATATTTCTTTTTCAATATGACATGCATAAACTTAAATTTAAATACTTGGTATTTTTATAAGATTTCCATTGTAAGAAAATTCATTAGTCTGTTTGATATATTTACAAATCAGTTGGAAAGAAAGTATATAATATTTCATTCGGTTTATTTCTTGAAAATCAAAAACTTTTATGAAAATATATGACCTATGGATTTGTTGTCCCCCCCCCCTCCCCCAGCACTAGCGTGCTCATTTTGCAAATTCACAATTCTCTATATCAAGAAACAGAAATGTAGATAGAATTAGAGGGCGAAGTAGAGTATGAGATTGAGATTGAGATTGAGAGAGAGAGAGAGAGAGAGAGAGAGAGAGAGAGAGAGAGAGAGAGAGAGAGTGCGACAAAGTACGAGTATTCGACATAAAGGGAGGAAAGAGAATATAGAAAAGAATAAAATAACCCAACGCCTTCTCTCGAATTACATATTCGTGTCCAGTGTACACCTGTCGTATTTTTCTACACCCCGTGTGGCAAAAGACCCCCTTTTCTTATATCACACATAGAATGAGTAATATTTCCAGAATCACCAACGGTAAAAGTAGACAATTATTCAACTGTCATTGAGTTCAAAGTCTCGTTTAAATATTGTTGTTTTAAATACTTAAAAATCAATAATTGACAATAGAGGGAAAAAGTTGTCGTCGAAATATGTGAGAATATTTATGAAATTGAATCGATAAACATTATATTAAACAGAAATTTGTAACTTTTCTGTACACTCTCTGAAATGACGTATTTATAATACATGATGATATGATACATATTAATTTTTAAATATTTTAATATATTCATGTACATACTGTAATTCAAAATGTATGTGATTTTTAAAAAAATGCTTGAATGAAGAATTATATTGATTAAACTAGCCGAATACATTGTATGATTAATTATTTATAAAAGGCAATTGAGTAATTTTTACCGTAATTAATGTATATATATATATATATATATATATATATATATATATATATATATATATAGAAGAAAGTCTAGCTTTATAATCCCAAAATAGAAAATGCGATCGCTCGTATTATAGCATTTTGTACGTGAGCTTGGCGAAAGGGAATCGGCCGCTGAAAATCAAACTACTACACGACAATAGTTTGCCCTGGTTGATATAGCTTGGCAACTTCTTACCATGTGAAGCATTCTCCGCCTCTGTCTTTTTGCTTTTTAGTTTCGAGCCCCATCCCCCTCCCCCTCCTCCTCACCGCCCCAGGCCCCATTCGTTTTTAACGTCGGAGGTATGCGCAAGTGTGTGGTGCATCGCCTTGAAGTATAACTAAGGGCTGCACCTTGTGATACTCGTTTTGTGATACAGAGGTAGATGATTTTAAAACTACTTTAGCGAAGCGAAGATTTTGCTACGTTATCTCTCGAGTTTCAACATAAATCTTTTAGCGATAATATATCGATGTATCACATAGAGTGAAAGAGAGAGAGAGAGAGAGAGAGAGAGAGAGAGAGAGAGAGATAGAGAGAGAGAAATAGAGTGAGAGTGAGAGTGAGTGAGTGAGTGTGTGAGGGCGGATGGAAGAGAGAGATAGTCTACAAATGAAATTTTCTTCCAATTAATCGAGTACACCATATTTAGCAAGCAAGTTTTTGGAATATTTGTGAGTAATTAAAATGTGTATAATGCATTGAAAATCACATTGTCGTTCCAATCTTCGTGTCACTTAATCACTTATCATTATATATGCTTTATTTATCTAAATTATTGCTTGTTAATAAAAATTAATTCTTATCATTAATTATTCACTAAAACGTTTACTCTAATTTTCAATGTAATTTATATTGATATTTATTATATTATTATATTTTTGTTATTTTTTCTTCTTATTACATTATTCACAATTTATGTTTTACTTATTGTTAATATATAGTTGAAAAGAGTTGATACACCCAATGGTTTTTTTTTCCATTCCAATTCTACACTTAGTAATTCAAATTACATTAAACGCGTGATTAACATTACGTAAATTTGAACATTAACAGTTAAACTCATCGCAAAATTGCTTCTATTTACTTATCCACAATAATCACTAAATAAATTCATAAAAAAAAATATTATTGACTTGAAATGAAAATTTCTAATTTAACGATGTATTAGGAGCTCATTTCGTGAATTTGATATAATAAATCACAAGTAATATATACTAAATAATAAATACTAAATAATAATAAAAAATATCTATCATTAAAGTATATATCTTTTGCTTTTTCAAAAATCTTTTATTAATGTTATGTATTGTCTTATTTTATATTCTTGCATTAGAATTAGTGAATATATTTGAGAAAGTAGACTATAGAAAAGTATTCATTGAATAAACCTTGTTTACTAATCAAAATATTTATTTTTGAAAGTTTTTTTTTTATTATTATTATTTTTTTTTTTTTTTTTTTTTTTGATGTTTGTCACTCCGTGATCCAATAATTTTTTATATTTATTATATTATATTAATTTTATTTTTTTATACATTCTTAATGTCGTATCAGTACGCTATGTATGCTGTATTTGCTTTTAATTTTTAACAATATTTTTCTGAAATTAATTTTATTTATAAAGTATCACAAGTAACCAGCCACTTGGTATGACTTCTTTATATTTTGTCGTGATAAGTATTAAACGATATCTCAACATCGATCAAATAATTTTATAAAACAAAATATTTTAATCTATGGCCTTTTTTAATCTATGGCAAATTTACAACTCTACGTTAACTTAATGTTTGACTTTACAAGACAATTAAGCAGCAAAAGTGGCATGGGTAATTTTTTTAGTTGATTTTCTAATTACACTAGTCGCGACTTATAGGGAGGGAGGGAGGGTGGGAGGGGTGGCGTAAACGTGCCTACTTATATATTCTTGACTTACAGTTATAAATCTTTGGCATCTGCCGTAGATGACCATTGTACACGATTGTTGTAATTAGTAAAGGTATGGGGGCATACCATCGTTATTGCTTTACCTCGTGGATTGCCACCTCTAATATTCCATTGTCTACATAAAAGTTTGTCAGATTTTTAATTCTGTATTTTGTATTATTGTTCTAAATTCACTTATAATTAACATGCATATTCTCTTTTATCGTTTTTTGGCCAGAAAGAAACAATTTCGGCAATACTCGATAAATCATTTTTACAGTCACTATGCAATTGCGCTTCCTTAGCTGCACATCGAATACTCAACAACTTCACTCACATTGATAAAACAAATAAATTATAATGAAAAATAAATGTCTTGAGAGTCCAAATAGGTCTTCAAAGCATTACACTTATGTTATATATAGTCATTGGAAATATCTTGAACGAAGTAATTTACTAAAATATTGGAAAATAATTATTGAACTTTCACGCATTAAAGGAGGTTAAAAAATTATATTAATACGCTAAAAATGTAATTATACATAGTTCGTGCAGTGTAAAGGGGAAAAAAGTTTATAGGTTCAATTATAACATTCTTTTCGTTAATTTAATTATTTTACATATTGACAAATTGACACGATTACTCATTATACTATTAGTCTATTTATTATCAGTTTACTTTCGCAAGATTCTGCATTCATGGCTTTTATTATAAAATCGTTGGAGATTAAATTTCCCATATTAGACCGAAGCGTCGTTGGACTGGCAATGGTTGAAAATACATCGAAGGGAGAGAAAGATCGAATCAGATTTTTAAACGATTAAGATCTTTGTAATAATCGTGGCATAACGAATGGGCAATATAATTATTGACGAAGTAAGTCGAATTAAAGCGCTAGGAGTTTTATTTTAAAATATTGGTGGAGTTTTAGAAGTAGTAAGCCATTAAATTCCTTACTATATATGCTTATAATATCCAAGGCTGATAATTGATAATTGAGAGAGTCGATTGTTAATGCACTTTGCTAAATAGACTGATAATCTTTAATGGGAATGGGAATGGTACAAGCGGCCTAAATGCTCGACTGGAGCTACCATTCAAGAATAAAAGGAAAGTTATGATAATCTTTAAGTCTTTAAGCGAGCGAATATATCGATGATAAAATCGATTACTAACCTTCCGATCGTATCGAGCTATGGCGGAAGTCTAGACAAATCAGTGATGACACATTGTTCGAGGGATCGCGCCAAGGCACAAGCACAATACACCCGGCAGAGCGAATCCGCGAAATTCCAGATCCTGCGTCGATTTTCGCACTATCTTTCTCCTGACCCTGCCTGTCGCACTCTTGTTCGCTCCCACTCTTCTCTCTCTCTCTCTCTCTCACTCACACACACACTCACTCTCTCACTCACTTATTCGCTCAATCTCTCTCTCTCTCTCTCTCTCTCTCTCTCTATCTATCTATCTCTCTCTCTCACTCTCTCGCTCTCTCACTCTCTCGCTCTCTCGCTCTCTCACTCACGCTCTCTGTCCAACGACAGCGCAGTTGGTGACGACTGCAACTCTATACTTTCGGCGCGCCGTTCACTCGCTTATGTAGAATACGAGCGCGTTCGACTTTAACAGGCTCGGCTAAAAAGGAGCAGCAGACTCAGCTCGTTCGGGACTCCTTCGATGGAATTCCTGAGGAAGCGCGCGCGCGTTCTACGTTACCATGATACGCGGGCTATCTCCCTAAATAAATACACCCACCCACGTGTACGCTTCTTCCGTAGCTACGTATAGCCGAACGTGCAGCAACAACAGTTTTATCGATAGTGCGGGGAGGGGCGGAGGGGGGGGGGGCTAAGGGGCCCCCGGGGTGGGGGCTAGTACGATGTAAAGCTGCCGTGTGTCCCCGACCATTAGCGCCGGCCAAAGCAAACAAAATTTAAAGAAAAACAAAACACTATCGGCGGAGAGCGCGTATGCGCACTTACTCGCATTTAAAGAGAGGCTTCCTCATCCTATCCTCCAGTGATCGTTGTGACTGGACCACAGCCGATCTCTGATATGTCGTCGGGCGGCGAGGCTGGATCGTCCGTACGGAGAACAACGAGCGAAGAGTGGATGGGTACAAGGCGAGGCCGAGGAGCAGGTGGTGGCGGCGGTGGCGGTAACGAATGATGAGAAGGAGGATGTAGAGGAGGATCGAGAGAAACTGTCCACGGACCGTCGACGAAACGGATCTCGAGCACTCGCGTGCGGGTGCCGAGCCTCCGGAGCACTGACTTCACCGCGCCGCGCACAGTTGGCTGAGCCACTGTGGCCGTCGAATACAACGGGAGAGGTAGGGAGAGCTCCCCGAAGGAATAAGAAAA